AAGGGGAGGACAAAAACGACGCTACAAGGTCACATTGAAGAACTCTCTGGAGTGACTGCACATTCCGAAAACTTGGGATGACCTCATCCAGGACATATCAGCCTGAAGAGGATCAGAGAAGACTGGCACCAACGAAGCAGGCCGGATTGCCGCTGCTAAAAACACACGGGCGACTCGCAAGTCACAAACGCTTCGGATCCACAACGCCAACGGCCAACGGCTTCCAACATGCCCACGATGTTAACTCACCTTACACGTGCGAACTAGCCTCGTTGGATACCTTTAGGCAAAATTTAGCAACAACTCGGCAACACCAACTTCTCCTTCCACGAAAACCCCTACTGTCACCCCTGCCTCAAACCTCGCGCAAACGACCATCTTCATGACCGGTAATCGCAATGATGATTTCCCATCGTCCTTGATCAACGGCACCATCCTCCCTGCACCAAGCCCTGTGTCGATAACAGTGTCCGATTCTACGGCCCCAAACCTATCTTTCCCTCACCGCCACCGCACATGCACAGCACACATGGGCATAGTCGATTACTTGCGGACCCATCGCACTGAAACTGGCGAATCGGTGCCAGTAGCGTTAACATACACCCACCGCACCCGCCTCAACTGCCCATGCACATTCACTCCCAGCATGGCCCTATTAAACCACATGGGCCTTCATGAAATCCTGCGGTATAACAGCGCCGGCTATACCATGCCACCAATTTTTCCTCGCCAGCACGTACAACACACATGACCACACCCAACATCATACAATGCAAGCACGTTATTGCCACCTGTCGCGTAAGTGGGAAGTATGTTCCTCTCACTCCTTCTCCATGTGGCTCCTCTGATGCATTTTTGATCCGAGCCCTAGACTATCTGGGTGCGCCAAGCATCGTGGCTTGGAAGGTTGCCAACTGAAGATGGAGCTTAGGCCTCGCACCCAGTTCAGTGTATGTTTGTGCGGAGTGGCCGATTGGTGAATTAAGTCAGCCTGCAATGGCTCCTCCTTAGTGTGACCTCTAGCCTTCTCACGCATGTGAGATCCATGCCACCCATTCCCTTTTGTATGAAATCCTGCTGCTCGCGTTTGGGCAACGGGGGCAGGTCATGTATGCGGCACGGCATACAAGGCCACTAGTTCTGTAAGTCACTACGCCTACTCCCCGCACCAGATATCTGACCGGGCCAGACAGCAGCCAGGGCCTATGAATGGAAATCAACAGCAATGTCGAGGACTCGGAGCATTTTCCTAACTATAAACAATCTGACGCGCCTGATTCTATCACAGTGCGTTAAAAGTCGTGGCTTGGTAGGATGCCAACTGACGGGATAACTCTGATCTCGCAGTCAGTCCAATGTGTTTGGGTGGTGTGGCGGACTGGTGGACAGAGTCAGCTGCAATGTTTCCTTCTGAATGCGGCTTCTATGGCGGGATCCGAATATGGTGTGGCGGTACTCCTAGAGGCAGCTCCGGTCGCACCATTCACCTGAGCTCTCCCTTACCTCTGACCTTTTTGACTCTGTCTTGACAACGGGTTCATGTGGGGGAGGGGAGAAGAGTGCGCGGTAGATTCTGCGCAAGTCCACCATCACCATAAAATAATTCACGCGCAAGTCACTGCCCCTGCACCCGGCATGCTGTGGAGCACAAGGTTGGCATTTTTGACAACGACGGTCGAACTATCGGTTCAGCTCATCAATGGGCTCCAGTGTCACTCTGTCGATTTGGCATAAGTCCAGTTGACAGATGGTTTCTTATCTAATCCTAAATTGCTGAAGGAGTTTGTCGAAAAGTGCGGTGAATCACGCCAAAAACGATGTCGAATACGCTAGGAGACCCAACTGTGAGTCCATCCCTGGTCGTCCAATTACAGAGACAGATGATCACAGAAACATGCTCGCACCCTTGTTAAATGCCTGTGTTGTGGGGCAAACTGGAACGACTTTTCGTAGAAAAAATATAAATCGTTACACATGTGCGGATAACCCGCACACGGTTGTGGTGTGGATAAGAACATGGCTCCCAACTAACCGACGGAGCAATAGGGCACAAATCTATGCTCAATTTAATGCAGACCTCCTGAGAAAGAGTTGGATAAAAAAATAACCGATAAACGATAACAGTATTGCATTTCTTTCACCCTGAAATTTCCATAGATTTTATGATTCATCTTCTAAGTTCCGTTTTCCATAATCTACGTTTGACGGACATTGTGGATCCCTATGACAGACTGATCGGAGCGTTCCGATGTCATTGTGAGGTCGACCAATGGTTGCAACCACAGGCGTATAAACGGACTGGCAACAAAATGCAAATAAGACACGATTTAATTTGGCCCTCGGGTAAAAGAAACGAGTGGATATTCGGCCTGCACTAGTATACTATAAAACTGAACGCCATAAATGGTGTTAACCTAGTTCTGCTCAGATTGATGGAGGCACGCCATAGGAGTATGCGCGAATAAGTCGAGGTTTAGTGGCCACCAAATACTAGGGTGCAGTCCTTGATATTTTAGAGGCGTGCATACCTAAACGGTCCAAAATATACATATACCCATTCTTAAGATATATCATGAAATTAAAAGTTTCAGGCGATAGCTCCGCTAAATAAAAATATAACCAAGAGCAGACAAGCTGTCAGAGCACTCAGACAACGGGACGACAAAAGCAAACAGGTGAGACATAAATAAGAAGTAATTAGGATATGGCCAAAATGGGAAGAATCACTTACAGAAAGCTCTTCTGACAATGTTGAGTACTCTATACTGGCTTTCTCATCGAGATATAGGGCAATGTTTTCAAAGGCCTCCTTCTTCGAGGAATGCACAAGCTTAGGGTCAGACACAATCTCGCGAAATAAAAATCTCTTCGAAAACGGTACATAGTTATTGCTACAAGTATGATTAACAAAGGCGGCGTGTAGAGTAGCTTACGACAGTATTTTTGGGCCGGAGTTGGGCGGAATTTTCAGCGACTTCCATTCACCTATCTTTATTCTCGATGATTTTACAAGGGCCTTCAAACTGTCCAACGTCGAATTAAATCTAGATTGCGTTAATTTTGGCACGAGCTTCTGCGAAATTGTGTTTGCCCGGGCAAATACCATCATTCGTATGGTGTAGAGGAGCCTAGTCACAAAGCATGAGAAACGTCCGCTGGTACGACGCACAGCCTATTACCAGAGTTGCCTTATGCAGCCCGAAGACGAAGGGGCTGGTAGTCATTTAGGTTCATTCAGGTCCCTCTGTCCACCTTCCCAGGATTTCAGGCCATCTTGACAGCTTTATTTTATGAAGAAATCAAAGGACCCTCCCCCGGATATCTCGCTTCTGAGTCGAAAGTTGCACATTTCTGATTGATAAAGTTAAGCAGTCGAGTGCTCACCCGAAAGATAGGAATAGATGGTTAGTGCAATACGGCAAGAGGACTCACATGATTGATAGATAAATTGCATGGGGATAACAGTGACGCATGATAGGTCAGTCAAAATATAAGAGATGGGTGATGAAGTCGTGCAACATTTAAGATTAACGTAATAAAAACCCACGCAGATATTTGGTAGTGGAAGGTGCAACATCACTATCATATGACCCTACTATTAGACGAGATTGTAAGGGGATGGACGAAGCTGTTACCCTGTGAATCTGGGGCCTAGCTCCATCAGTCCTGATCAAGATTTGGAGCATAACATGTGAAATCATCTGTTATAGTTGCGGCCCTGAGAGATAGCATAAGATTTATCGTGCAAGATCTTCCTTCTTGGCAATCCGATAATAAATTTTGAACCTCAAGTAATTGCCAAATTCGTCCTTTGTGATCCTCTCTGTTGCGGCCGAGAATGCATTTGAAGCTTATGGGCCTATTATCCATTATCGACGCACAGCAAGTACATTTGTATAGGGGAGATATGCGCACCAGATTCCAATCAGCGGCATGTTTCCACCTTCAAATTAACTTTAAACGGACATTGAGAATGACACAGGAGTCCCACTGACGAGTCATCTTAGAAGTTGCAATGGATTCGCCTCTGGATACTTTCATTTTTTTTAACGGGTTTAACTCTTTTCGCAGAAATGTTCTGAAAAGAAGGTATTGTTTATACGTTGAATGCTTAATTGGAAAGCTTTAAAACCGTTCATGTCATGTGTTGGCATGAATCAGATCAATCTGGATGGCAATTTGTTTATGGGCAATGGAATACAGATACAGGCCTTCAGTTACTTGATTTTTTTACGGGAAATAATTAAGCGGTTGTGTTTTTTCTGCCCTCGACTCCTAACAAACAAGCTACTATTGTTTTAAAGCGGAAAGCATTCCACACAACCAGTTTCCGCTTTGAGATCGGATTGTTGATATTACCTTGACATAAACTGCCTTTTCCTCAAAATGCGAAATGCCAGTGGTAGGAATGGAGTTCCTGTGGATTTGCATGCAGCGTGTGTCCACGTCATTCTACTGTGCAAATCTGCTGGGATCAACGGCTGATGCTATTTGTCCGATCTGCGCGAGTTCTGCTCGCCTGCCGGTTTATTGTCAGTCATGCGTATATTTCTGTTTTCAGTGCAGCGCCTGTTCAGTCTCAATGTTCCCATTGACTGGAGAATGCTCCTTAAACTTTCAGAAATGTCTATAAACAAACCTTTCGACAGCGACCGTTTTGTTCATGTGGCACCTGGCAAATCCCTCACGTCGAAGTATGAAGGTTGTGTTAGGGATGCTTCAGAGGCGCACACGCAGTCGCACATCGACGGTATGAAAATTTTAAATTGACTGGTCAGCGCTTGTGGCCCAGTACTTGTATCTTCATGCTGTTAGGTCAATGCAGGTGAGATTACGCCTAGCGTCCATTTGCTGGCACCCAACTCTCACCTGTGGCTCCACGTAGCTGGGCTCTGCTCAGCGGCCACACCCGGGGGAACCGTCTCGACCGGCGGGAAAAACCAGGTGAGGGTATCCGTGCGTGCACCTGCACACGCGGTACTGTGGCTTCCGCTAGTCAGATGGATCTTCGTGTCAACATCGTCGAGACGAGGCTCTGCCTGGACCATCGCAGGAGGTCACCAGGTAAGTTCTTCTTCAGGTAAGTGAATTTGCTTTGTTTCTTCTTTTTGTCTTTTGAAGTTCCGTGTCGTCTGTTTCTCCTGATGCCTGCCCTCTGTATGCTAGTCTATCTGCTAATAGCTAGACGAAACCCTCGCTGCCTGCTGCGACTGTCTGTCTGTCAGTTTATGCCTCTCTGCTAATAGCTAGGTGTTACGGTGCTTGACACTTGAATGGTGCCCTCTCACTTCTGTCTCTGACTGATGACTGTGTCTGCTTGTCCAATCTAGTTCTAAGTCCCATAGCGTTTGGTTGTGTATATGCTCTCTCCTACTTCACTCCATCACAACAGAACCCAGGTCACAGGAAAATCCGGTTCGTTCTCTCACTAACAAAAAGTCGTGGTCCATAGTGGAGTCCGGCAGCCGTCTGGGATAACCGGGCAGCCCTATTTAGGGGGTGCGCTCCCTGCCCTCGCGAGGGGGAGGGGGCTGGAAAAAATGGCCTTAAAATTGCTGGGAACCACGCTGGCTGGCCGTGGCCGCAGACAAAACACACACGGTCGAAACAGCCAAAATCGAAACAACAAAAACAACAATCACTCTCTTCCACTACCAGCCTATTTATCTAATTCTCCTCATCCTAGAAATCGCCGCCGCAACCGCCAGAATAGCAGGGTGAGTCCGCTCACTCTGGCAGCCTGGAATGTTCGTTCCCTTTTAGACAATCTGAGGAGCAACCGACCGGAACGGAGGACGGCGCTAGTGGCCCGGGAACTGGCGCGCTACAAGGTGGACATCGCCGCACTCAGCGAGACCCGATTCTCCGAACAAGGCCAACTGGAGGAGGTGGGTGCCGGCTACACCTGCTCCTGGATCGGTCGACCCTGGGCCGAGAGACGAGGCGCGGGTGTCGCCTTCGCCATCCGGCACGACATCGTGGGACGACTGCCCTGTTTGCCGCAGGGCATCAACGATCGCCAAATGAGCCCCCGTCTGCTTCTCCGCCGGGGTGAGGGCCAATTCGCCCCCATAATTAGCGCCTACGTTCAGCCGATGACCAGCCGCGACGCCGCGAGAGACAAGTTCTATAAGGATCTACACGCACTCCTGGCGACTGTGTCGAAGGCGGACAAGCTGATTGTCCTCGGTGACTTAAACGCCCGCGTCGGCACCGACCATACTGCCTGGAGAGGTGTGCTGGGTCCCCACGGTCTCCGCGGCTCAAACGACAATGGACTGCTGCTGCTCCGCACCTGCGCAGAACACCGCCTCATCCTGACGAACACGTTCTTCTGCCTGCCGGAGCGAGAGAACGCCACCTGGAGGCATCCTCGGTCGCGTCAGTGGCACCTGCTGGACTATGTCCTCGTCCGGAGGTGAGATCAGCGGGACGTGCTGATGACGAAGGCGATGGCGGGCGCTGACGGGTGGACCGACCATCGCCTCGTCATCTCGGAGATGCGTATTCTCCTACAGCCTCGCAGGAGACCACAAGGTAAGCGACCCCCAGGTAAGCTGAATGTTGCCTTGTTGTCTTTGCCCGCTCACCATCTTCATTTCAGTAATGAGCTAGCTCAACGGCTAGACAACCTTCCAATCGCTGCCGCCGACGACGCCGTCGCTGCCGAGAACGCCTCTGTGGAGAACCGCTGGTGTCAACTGCGAGACACGGTCCAGACGACGGCGCTCGCCATCCTCGGTCGCGTTCCCCGCCAACAGCAGGACTGGTTCGACGACAACGACGCAGTCATCAGCAATCTGCTTGCCGAGAAGAACCGCCTACAAAAAGCCTACGTAGATCACCCCACTGATGCCAACAATTTCGCTTTCTACCGCAGTCGCCGCCACCTTCGGCAACGACTGCGCGAGATGCAGGACGTCTGCACTGCTCGCAAACCTGAGGAGATCCAAGATTACGCGGACCGCAACGAATGGAAGAACTTCTTCTCTGCGATCAAAGCTGTATACGGTCCGCCGACGAAGGGCACTGCTCCTCTTCTCAGCGCCGACGGTAGCACTCTCCTGACTGAGAAGACACAAATTCTACAGCGATAGGCCGAGCGTTTTCCATCGCCCCTCCGCCATCTCAGACGCCGCCATCGAGCGTTTGCCGCAAGAGGAGGCCAACGTAGACCTCGACCTTCCGCCATCTCTCCAGGAGACCATCAGGGCCGTACAGCAGCTCTCCAGCGGGAAAGCACCCGGATCGGACGCAATCCCTGCTGAGGTCTACAAGCACGGAGGTCCCCAACTGATGGCCCACCTGACCGCGCTCTTCCAGGAGATGTGGCCTCAATGTGAAGTCCCGCAAGATTTCAAGGACGCAACTATCGTGCATCTATACAAGCGAAAAGGAAACCGCCATGTCTGCGACAATCACCGCGGCATCTCCTTGCTGAACATCGCCGGGAAGATCTTCGCTCGCATCCTCCTCAATCGCCTGAACAACCGTCTGGAACAGGGCGTTCTGCCGGAAAGCCAATGCGGCTTCCGTCGTCATCTTGGGAAAAAGGATATGATCTTCGCCGCCCGTCAACTTCAGGAGAGGTGCCAGGGGATGCGGACCCACCTGTACTCTACGTTCGTGGACCTGACAAAAGCCTTCGACACGGTGGATCGTGAAGGACTATGGAAGATCATGCAAAAATTCGGCTGTCCGGAGCGATTCATTTAGATGGCGCGTCAGCTGCACGACGGTATGATGGCGCGAGTCACGGACAACGGAGCTGTCTCAGAGGCATTCGCAGTGACCAATGGAGTGAAGTAAGGCTGCGTACTGGTGCCTACCCTCGTCAGTCTTATGTTCTCTGCCATGCTAATGAACGCCTACCGCGACGAACGGCCCGGGATCCGCATCGCCTACAGGACGGACGGTCACCTTCTGAATCAACGGCGGACGCATTTCCAGTCGCGCGTATTCACAACCACCGTCCACGAACTTCTCTTCGCCGACGACTGCGCTCTGAACTCATTGACGGTGCCGATATCGGTTTCACATGAGTCGTCTATACTAGCATTCTGGTTATATTTAAGGTAATAGGGCGTTCAACTTACGCACTTTTGCAGTATATGAGCTCCTTTATATATTACAGTTTGTAGGTTTTCTTAAGCTTACCGACTGTTAGCTTTTTTGCAAACAGACTCCGCAATCTCCAGCAAACCGTCGATTTCGTCTCACCTCATTCGGCTAATCACCGATTAATCTCAACATTGGCTGATATAAAAATGTGGTTTACAGATTTCGATGATCTTCTTTTTTTACACTCTTACGTGGTACTCACCGATGTTTGTCGTTTCCTTTGTAAATTTTTGGTCATGCTCCTACCTTGTTATTATGCTCTTTGCCTAGTGTCCGCAGGACATAACTTTGATATGCCCGACGAGCCCTGGTATTACGTCAGTGAACTGATCAGCGTTTCCCTCCTGTCTTGATACTCTGATTGTGAGTTCAAAACCTCCGCCACCCCGTCACTGTATTTCTTTTTTTATCCGTTTTAGGTTCGACTTAGATGTCGGTGCTCTAACATTACGGCATTCTTAGGGTCTGACGTATATTTTAAATAGATTTCGCGCAGTTTATCTAGGGATAGCACTTATCTCAGTGCAGTCTAGTTAGACCGACAATATGCAGCTTAAAATACTATTGCAATGGACGGAGATACTTGCAAGTGAAATTTGGTATTCCATGACGAGCGCTGTTGTCTTGCCACTGAAGTTAGGCTGTAGTTGAAATAAACCAAGCCCCCCCTTCTCACCTTCTTGCTTTATTTTTAAAATGTGGATTTCTTTGATGAAAATTTTAAGTTTCTCAATACAAACAGAAGACTGCATTCCTCTCAGAACGATGGCGTCTTGCTCGGAGCCATCTTATTAAACATAATTCAAGTTTTAACAATTGTTCTTTTTTACGAAAGCCAATTTGGCATCATCCTGCCCTGGTTTTGGTCGACTATTGCCACAAGAATGACCCTCTCTGCTTAGTATCTTTGACGTTCATTTTTCGACCACTCAGCCTGTCCGCGTCACCTCCGTCATTTTCGCCTGAATTTCTACTTAATATGCCTTTTTATAGCGTTCCCATGCCAATGACTCGACAGGGCAAACTGATGACGGCAATTCAGGTGCCCTCTTTCTTCGCAGCATCTCTTCTGCATTTCTAAAATTTTCCGAAGACTGCTGTTGACACCTCAATTTTTTTATTAGCCGAAACCTTCCTTATCTTTCCCTTGCGTAGATGCACCCTGCTTATATTGATTTTTCTGCTTCAGTGCACCGGCAACCTCTACTACTTTTGTTTGGGTTTGTTCAATGTGTTTTGCTATATTTATCCCTGACCACTATTGTTTTTTTCTGTTGCATTTGGTCCTGTTTCAGGTTATGACTTTGTAACTGCCCAGCTATTTTCCGCCCGATCATGTTTTCCGCTTACCATGTCTCCCTGTTTTGGTTTTTCCATTGTTGAGCAAGCTGAATGCTATCACACCCCCTTTTACAAAGTTCGTATACAGCTGCTTGTTCTGTCGGATTTGACACGGAACGTGAGCCGCCAAATTCGTTGGCTTTGGGAATTTGAAGCAACTTTGGAAATTAACAGAGCGAGGCATCTGTACAGGCAACCACTTTCAACGGACATTACTGTTTCGGACAAAGAAATCTATAGAATATCCTAAGCGCACAAGAAACCTTGCTTCCTGCTCGGTGGAAAAATTTGTTTGGGTTGTCAACTTGCCCAAAAAAAGTTTCTAGAGCGCAAGTTATTCCGTAAAAATTTCCCCTTTTGCGCTCCTCTGCTTTGTTGGGAAAGCGAGTGAATACACGATCCTATTTGAGAGAATTTTCTTGAAGTACTGTTCGAAGTTAGAAGTACGTAGTCTGATAAACGGTTTTATCAGCAATGCGTGTATAAACTAGGAATGAAAATGACTTCTGAGGACTCAAGTCGTTCAAGAAACCAAAAAAAACTATTAGGTTAACTGGTAAATTCGATCCCAGTTTCTCTAACTGAATGCTCAAAGAATGATAGCGATTTGTGGTCATCTGCGACGCAGGGGGACTTTTTTGTTTTGAAAAAGCAAAAGAGATATTAGCCTATGATTTTTGCCGGTATCTTTTGTATGTTTATTACCCAGTAATTCCCAAGTACTCAAGACGTCAATGGCTTGATTGGAACAAGTTAATTACAAGACGGTTCGGCTTCCAACTGTCAGAAATGAATGTTAACAGCCGTTTATTTAATACCGAATTGTTATTCTTTTCCGATTGTAAATGCCAAATAAGGTCTTGGACCCATGTTTTAATGACATACAGATAAGATTACAAGTGAAGGTGCTCCGTTGATCACTAAAAGGAAGCTTCTTTTACTTGTCTCTTTAGACGGACGCCCGACCTTGAACAAAACGCACTTTTTCGAAATTCTCGGGCGGGCATTGGCGTGTGGCTTATAATGTAAGTTTCCATAAAACATTCGACCTACTTATTAAACCGCCTGTTTACACAAAAAATTTTGGCATATATAAAATCGAATTTTCTAAATTTTTTCGTTAGTACACGTTATAAGTAAAATTGTAAATCTCGCAGCAATGAGATTTCTTCGTTCCGCCCGTTACCAACCTAGACATTTATCTTATTTTCTCTTTAATGCATACATAGTCCGCGTGTAAGATGTTATAGTTAGCGTGACCAGTAAAAAAAGACTGTGTCGGTTGGTTATGATCTCATCGCATATATATGTGATGATCACATATGATTACAGCCAGTTACTGCCAGTTATGTGTACATTTCATATGAACTGTACATATAAATGGCTGTAATTATAACCGGCCATAAATTGTGCGTGCGATCCGGCTTTTGTCTCAGAAGACCGGCTCTAACTTGCTGGCTGCAAAATTAAGGTTTTAACGCTTGTGGTGCAGTAATTGAAGGGCCGTTTGCAAACCTCGCGATTAGAATAAACAATAAGACGGTCATATAAGTATCTTCTTGTCCTTTCTACGTACATAGTTTATGAAACAATGGTTTATGGGTTTTTAACAACAGTTATTCGGAATCGATCTTACTTCCAGGCGCTGTACACCAGATCACAACATTTATGTTTATTAGGTCCCAAAGCGCCAATTACAGATGAGAGTTTAGAAGTGTTTTCCGAATAATACTTTGTCATTATTACTGGAGAGCACCGGCCAATAGAAGACCTGATTGCACTTCATAAGATGGTGAACTGTTCTGCTAGGCCACAACCAGCTGTGACATATACAGGCCAGCTTCCTACAGTCCCACCTAGTAGTAAGAACAAACACGGTTAAGGTAGTGACCAAACGTGCGTATAGCGATAAAATCTGCCCTGGACCGATTATGCGACCAATTTTACTGAAGTATTCCGATGGAACGTACATGCTAATAAGAAAACGTCAACTCCTCAATGCCTTCACCAATGCGTATTGCGACCTAACCTCATATCTCGCCGGGCTTTGTAGTTAAGTGCTGAGCGGCTATGAAACGCCGCAACTGGTTCATTTTATTTCGCAAAATGCTAGTTATTTCGAAAAGCCGACTTACTTTACATACTTGACCCATTGCAACATGAAATATTTCAAAACATACCTTGCAAGCAAAAATACTGAAGGATGCAATGAGCAAAGTTATAGAAAAACGTCCACCCACATAACATTTTTTTGCTTATAGGCTGAAGCAACCTAACCATCCGTTCTTAGAATCATATATATCAAAACGGAGAATAGCAACAAGACGTAGACTAAAAAATGTCCATTCTTCACGGAGTATAGTTAAGAAAAATGTAGAACAACGTACGTATCGTGAGGAAGAAAACAATAAAAGCTGAACGAAAAACCTCAGCGTTGGTTAAGGGTTGAATATATGAAAACTGAACTGTAGACATTAGTCGACAGCAGGCTTAGCTCGCAACGTTTCTCCTTTTGAACCTTTCCTAATAAAGCTGTTAGTAACACTATTGTCAGTACAATGGAACGCCAAGCATTACCGATGCTGTTTTCACGAGAACCTGACCGGTGCCAGTTACGATTTGTAATTTTTAAATATTTTGCCCTTAATTTAATGAAATATATAAACTTTGAATACGCCTCCGAGAAATACCCGTTATTAAGTATCTAAACTGTACTAAAGACAAGCGAAATTACATTTGACAAAGACGACGCTTTTAATAAACTATCTGGAAAACAAAAAAGTTGCTTGAGCCATCGAACGGCCAAAGGAACATATAGGACTAAACGTGCGAGTATTACGTGTTTCAAAATACTAGATCCATTAAAATCGTGTTTCCCGAAATTGTGCGCATAGTTGTAACGCCGTAACTTTAATAATTATTTTACCAGGGATAATTTGGACAAATAATATAATCTTTAAGGGAAATAGATTACTCGTTGTACAAATGGCTTTTGCGCTCACCAGTACAGAACGAACTTTTCGATTTTACCCATTTACCCTGAAAATGTTAAACGATTATCCTAAGTACAGTTTCTAAAATACGTTCTGACTTTGGACGTAAGTTGTCGATTGATAATAATTCGAGACGATGTATGCGACAGATTTTTTTCTGAATAAAAATGACTTCCGTATTTGCTGTCGTCCCACAGCATTTCTTATGATGGCAAATGTGTCTTAATTTGCAGATAATTGAGTAAACTCTTTGCATTTCTGTGGATAAAGGTGTGCTTCAAAATGATTTTTAAAGTTAGTTGTTGAGATAAGTTAGCTGTTTAGCAAGGTCCGTCTTGAAATTGTTTTGGTCTGTTTAATAGGCACTTTCAGAGAAACTTGCCGTCACATAAATCTTACATAAGTAAGTCAGATATAATGGTGTTTGCGAAATATTTGTTATAATGAGAATGAAAGTAGAGGGTATAAGCTAGAAGTACATAAACAACGAAATAATCAAATGCTTTCGACATAGTGCAACAGTAATTTCTTTGGGGGGACAAGTTAAGTTTCACCAAAACACTCATACCTAACAGTTAAGCTATTACAAAGGATGTAAAAAGAAACCGAGGTATTATCCATTAACTGCATTTAAACCGTTATATTGTTGACCACTTAAGCAGTGTTGTGCATCTAATATTAAATAGTTTTTGGGCACAATGTTAAATGCCTCTGAGCCTTTAACTGGAAACGATACAGTTCCTGAGCGATACCTTTGTTATTTTATTTTTAATTTGAATTAAAGACTCAGGTAAGGGGCTTTTTTGCGAAATAAAGTAATTTATTCATAGACTCTGCACCAACCTATACCACAGTTTTAATGTTTGCTTCTAGCTTGTTCGGCAGTGATCCCATTTCGACAAGAGACGATTACTGATTAATGAAAACAGCTTCTAGCGTTTCCATATTTTGGCATCCTTTTCAATTGTTTATATCGTCCGTGAAAAGTTTTTGTGTCTTTTACTCCGACCTCCATTCAATCTGTTATATCCACGTCTTTAATCACATATAAACGGCTTTACTCTATAAGACACTTAGGTCTTTAATAAATGGGAGTCAGCGCTCAATGCCTAAATTTGTGCGCTTTTCATGTGAGAGCAACATCTCAGCAGATGAGAAATTTGTTGTTTGAAATCTTATTTTCTAAATTATTATATTGAATTCCAGCCTGTTTGGAAGCATAGAGCGTATATTTTTTGGCTTTTATCATAACTAAACATTTCATCCTACCTCACACATTTATATTTGTCTCTTTGTTTGGTCACCAGAAACTCATGAGGGTCATATAGTCCAGAAGGAAATAGTCCATCTGTGAACCCGAGCCCATGACCAGAACCGATCCATCAAAATCTAAGAAGAACTTGCTGATTGAGGGACAGATCCTGAATAACCAATGGTTCATTCAAGAAAAGATCGGTGGCGGCGGTTTTGGTGAGGTTTATCGAGCTCTCCAGCTGACCAAGTCGAACTCGTCTAAGGCCCTATTCCAGAAGTCCGCTCCACCCCTCGAGGTCATCCGAAAATACGTCTCGACGGACAGTCTTTCTAATGCCTCGTTCTTGGAGGATCAGCTGGATCCTATGGGGTCCCACGTGGCCATTAAAGTAGAGGCAGCCAAGAGTCAAAAACCTACACTGGCGACTGAAGTGGCCGTTTTGCGAGCACTCGTCGGTTGTCCTAACGTGTGTCAACTTCTTTCTACAGGAAAGACCTCCAAGGTGGCCTTCATTGTGATGACGTTGCAGGTATGCAGTATGCAGTATGCGTATGAATAGCGAGCTTTTAAGAGATGGCAGTCACAACTAAGGGGTAAGGATGATCTTAAGAGGAGTGGAGATTTGGGGCTTGAGTGGGGAAGTAAATAAGTGAATTAAGCACCACTTGCAACTGTTTGTCATTACGAACCACAGGTCGAACTGATCAAATAGTTTCTTCCTTTTATCTCCTGACAAGACATCTGTGTGGTGGAGATTTTTTAGTCCATTATTGCCAATACGGGTATAATGCTTGTTTGCATTTACAAATATGGAGAAGCATCCGAAGCTGCTGGATGCCACTGGGACCAGATTCTAATGTCACGCTTTACGGTGTCTTGGTCAACCATATGCGTAGAAGATTAATGTTGATAAACGTTAGAATCAGCGAACGTTCTATGCCAGGACAGTTTAACTGTTGGCAGAGGGGATCTTCAGACTAGGCCTGTCCATCTAAAGTCGCTCGCTTATAGAACAGCGTGCCTTGCTACTGAAACCCAAGGATTTCTGCTCTTGGCCAAGATTACAATAGTCAAACGTCTCTGTTTCTACAGGTTTTCCTATGACTACACTACCTAAAATACTAGTTAAAAATGAGACATGCACGGTCCTGCATAAAACAACTAGCCGAATCACTTTTGAGAAATCTTAGCTCGTTTTTAAAAATTATGGTCGAAACCTAACTCATTAAGTAAACCAGAAGAGCCTTTATGTACATAAAAGAAACTGCAAAAGTTGATAAACACATATTTGGGCTTTCAGAGGGAACGTCTTCTTGGACATGAGTTTAGAAACCCTTCAAGTACAAAAATGACACCATGAACCTTGAAGCAGCGAATGAATGCAGATCTGGTGTTTTATTTTCTAATACGAAAAACTCTCAGTTTATGGATAAGAGCCAATCTGGGAATCCGCTGCGAAAATTTTCTTCGACCATTTGTTAGAATTGCGTGAACGCGGCTTAATTTCCCTGCCTTTTATTAGTGGGCATGAAATCATTAACTGCATAAGGTAATTAGGCGTATTTTAATGATCTCGCTCCGTTATTTTATCTGCAGGCGGCTTAAACATTTTACATGGGAACTAGATCTGCGCAGCTGGATATAAATTTCTGCGTAAGCAGCAGCAGCAGCAGCAGCAGCAGCAGTATTAACAGTGTACTTTTCATTAGTAGAACGCGCCCTGCATTCTAGAGCTCTAGCTAGTTTGTTTAATTTGTTTATGCCGTAATTACTGATACAGTAAGATACGGAACTCTAAACAGTGTTCTGCTAGCCCTCTAAAATTGCTTTGCCTTCTCTGTCCTTTCTTGGATGCAAAAGGAAGATGGCGCTTGGTCAACTCCCTCTAACTGCATTCAAATTGGTAGGCACCAAGGTGTTCCTTTCAACTTACTCTAGATGTGGGATGTCTTTGATTGAGTTTCCTCTGACATCTGCATTCACACCCTACGGTCTCCTGATTTGTTCTGCCGCACGGATGAAATTAATACTCTTTAAAATGTAAACCTTAACTGGTTAACAAAATTTTGGATGCATTAGTGATAACTGGCAATGAAGCAGGACGCATCTCGAAACTAGCGGCATCAGCTACTATGTCTTGGCAGGTTTGACCCGACTTTTATAAGAGACAACGCCGAGCATTGGACTTTGGACTTTCGGGCTCTCGTCGACGCTGACAGTAATGAGGGGTGCTCTAGGCGGTTACAAGTATTGATAATCTCGAATGCCCTCAAAAAAATTCACGGGGCTTCATTATTTATGAATGTCACGTGCTGCAGACAGTAGCCAGAGGCGTTACTGCTAAAGACAGGGGAAATTGGAATGACTACTTCATACTAGCTTGCTGTCATCAGCCAATCACTGTCAGACTTGAGGCTCGGAAGACCTGAAATGTAAACTGGAGTCGTCAGAAAGGGGAAATTTTCATTATCGATTGGTGAATACCACTTCTCCTGGTTGACTTTAAACATTACCTATCTTGAACTAGAAGGGGTGGGTCCGTGGCTTGAGTGGTCGGACTTATGACTCAAATGTTCAATAACTAAACGACCCCAGTCAAAGTAACAGGTCCTGCTGATCTTGGGTCGGGAGAACCTGCTATTTTAGCCATATGGGTTTTACCCATAAGGCCAGCGTCTTAACTCGGGTTTTCAGCATTTCATGGTATCACTTCTGGACTCGAATCGCTTCCTGTCTTTTCCCAAAACATGCTTTCAATAAAGCTAAAATATGTTTTGCGTCAACTTGCAGAAGACTGTTCACACGCTTAACCCAACGCGTGACGTCGAAAGGCCAAATAAATCTCCACAAGGCAGTCTGAAACCTCCGTAAGGCAGTTGTCTGTAGTTGACTCGACTGCATAATTTTCAAGCACGCTTGTGGACCGTTGTGCTAACTACCCCAGGCAAGCGAGTGTAGCACGCGATCCTTAGAGCACTATCGACCAGCCTGCCGATGGGAAAAAGCTTAAATGCTGAGCGACTTTTCTGGCGTTGATATATGCACAGATGCCTAGAGAGCTTCAACCGGCCTTCAATGCTTGAAGAGCCAGGTGTGTGCTGGTCTTTTTGGCACTTAGATCCCACCTGTCACAAGACCACCACATTCCGCATCTGAGAACACCAAGCAGGGTTTGAGTTTCACCCGCCTCTCCGAGGTCCAGGTTTTAAGCTTCAGGTGTCTAGGTGGCAAAGCATCTCC